ACTCATGTTCACTGAAGCACTGCTCACAATAGCAAAAACATGGAAACAACCTAGGTGCCCATCAACAGATGAATGGATAAATAAATTATGGCAGCTACATACAAAGGAATATTATGCAATGATAAAGAACAATGATGAATCTGCGAAACAACTCACAACATGGATGAATCTGGAGGGTACTATGCTGAGTGAACTTAGTTGCAAAAGGACAAATATTGTATGAGACCACTATTAAGAACTTAAGAAAAGGTTTAAACACAGAAAAAAGCATTCTTTGATGGTTACAAGGGAGGGGGAGGGGAATTCACTAACTAGATAGTAGACAAGGATCAACTTCAGTGAAGGGAAGGACGACACACAGTATAGGGGAAGTCAGCACAACTGGACCAAAGTAAAAGCTAAGAAGTTTCTCTGAATACAACTAAACACTTTGAGAGACAGGGTAGCTGGAGCTGGGACCTGGGGACCATAGTTTCAGGGACCATCCAGGTCAACTGGCATAACAAAGTTTATTAAGAAAATGTTCTGCAACCCACTTTTGGTGAGTGGTGTCTGGAGTCTTAAAAGCTGGCAAGTGGCCGTCTAAGATGCATCGATTTGTCCCATCCCACTTGGAGGAAAGAAGAATGAAGAACACCAAAGACACAAGGAAAATATTAGCCCAAGAAACTAAAGGTCCACATAAACCAGAGATTCCACCAGCCTGAGACCAGAAGAACTAGATGGTGCCTGGCTGCCACCAATAACGACCCTGACAGGTAACACAACAGAAAGTCCCAGACGGAGGGGGAGAAAAGTGTGGAGTAGAACTCAAATTCACGTAAAAAGACCAGACTTAATGGTCTGACAGAGACTGGAGGAAACCCCGAAACTATGGTCCCTGGACGCTCTGTTAACCCAGAACTGAAACCATTCCTGAAGCCCACTTTTCAGACAAAGATTAGACAAGAGTATAAAACAAAAAATAATACACCTGAGGAGTGTGCTTCTCAGTTCAATCAGATACACGAGACCAAAGGGGCAGCTCCTGTACGGAGGCAGGTTGAAAAGGCAGGAAAGGACAGGAACTGGTTGAATGGACACAGGGAACCCAGGGTGGAAAGAGGGAGTGTGCTGTCACATTGTGCGGAATGCAACTAATGTCACAAAACAATGTGTATAAAATTTTGTATGAGAAATTAACTTTAGCTGTAAACTTTTACCCAAGGCACAATTAAAAACAAAAAAAACCACACATACACACAATGAGATAGCATCTCACTACTATCAGAAAAACAGAAAACAAGAGTTGGGGTAGAATGTGGAGAAATTTTTGGTGTAATTGTGTAAAAATGGCATGGGCGAGGAGGCATTTGACCTCCCTTAACTTTACAAAAAGGGAAGGAATCAGTCCAAGGCTGACTCCTATGAGGCAGAAGTCAGACATGCCGCCTCTCTCCACCATCTTTACCCGTTCTGGCACCAACTCTCCCTCCCACAGCACTCTCTACTTTTTCTGCTGGGTTCGATAATTCATTGCAATGATACACAGAACTCACAGACAATACTCATGATTATGGGGTTTATTAGGCAAGTAACAGGTTACAATTCAGGCTCAGGAAAGCTCAGGATAGAGTTCTTCCATAACGACAGCCTATTTCCAGCTCTGTGGCAGGCATGCCTCTCTCTGGCCCCTCGGCCTCTGCCCTGCTCATGCAAACGTTACAGAGCTCGTTTAGCTCTGCCTGTAAGCCTCGGCCCAAAGACACTCAGCCTTCTCACTCTGTGGGCAGAGAAGCCCAGTGCACCATCTCCTGCGGGTCTCTCCTGCCAGTCTCCTGGTTCTGCTGCCTCTGCCGCTGCCATTTCTCTGCCACTTGTTCCTGCCGTGCTGCCATCTTTGGTATTACAGTCTCTGGGCAGGGATCCTGGCTCTTCTTCCTTAGGGGTGGGGAGATCCTCCTCCTTCCTGGCTCTAGAATGGCTCATTTCAAGCCCAGCGGGATCACAAAACTGACTGATACCGTTGGTGGGCCACAATCACCCCCTCTGCACAGCCCTGCCCAATTACCCGGGTGGGAGCCACAAGACCGTGGCCACACACAATAGTGATCCATTGCACCGCAGACTGTAAAACGGTGCGGCCTCCATGGAAAACAGTTTGGCAGTTCTTCAAAAAGTTAAACATATAATTCCTATATGATCCCAAATTTTCCATTTCTAGGAGCCCTGGAGATACAAATGGTTAAGCCCTGGGCTGCTAACCAAAAGGCTGGTGTTTTGAACCCACCCAGCAGCTCCGTGGGAGCAAGATTTGGCAATCAGCTTCCATAAAGATTACAGCCAAGAAAACCCTATGGGGCAGTTCTATGCTGTCACATGGGAAGCAGGGATGCAAGCAAGTACTTTTACACCAACGTTCACTGCAGCACGATTCGTAATAGCCAAGAAGTGGCAACAACCCAAACGTCTATCTACAGATGCATGGATAAACAAAATGTAGTACGTCCATAAAATGGGATAGTATTCGGTTATAAGAAGAAATGAAGTTCTCATAAATGCTACGACACGGATTGAAAACACCATGCTAAGTGAAACAGGTCAGACACAAAAGAACAAATACTGTATGATCCTACTTACTTGAGAATGTCTAGAATAGGCAAACGTATAGAGACCAAAGTTTATCAGTGGTTACTGGGGCAGATGGGATGGAGGGACAGTTAATGCTTAAGAGGCACTCAGTTTCTGCTAAGGGTTCTGGGAAAACTTGGAAACTGACCATGGTGATGGTTGCAAACATGGTAAAAATAATTAACGTTACTGAATTGCACATGTAAAAATGGTTGAACTAGGAAAAGGTTTTGTTATATATATCTTACCACACACAGAAAAAAGAGCATGAAATGATACCATTACATTACAAAAAAAAAAAAAAAAAACTTGGTTTCTTGGTCTGAGTGTGTAAGTGAAAGCAGAGAAATTCAGATACTATGGGGCTATAGGGAAGTAAGTGGGTTTTTCAAAGATTTACTGTCAACCTTAAACTGTACTAACCTACAGAAACGAAATCGTATTTGAAGAACTGCAGTGTGTAAAGAATGGGCTTTTAAAGGTAACTGGATCAGTTTCATCTTGTTATTAATAAGGGAAACAAAAGATAACAGGACTACTTCCATAAGAAAAAAATCTCGTGAGTTATAATTCTAAACAGTAGAAAAAGAGGTTATGCTAACAGCATCGGAGTTAGCAAAGATTTCTCAAACAGGACCCTTTCAATTTCTGAAATGCTGCATGCAGCTGCTCCTTGACTTAGCTGTTTTCAGCTGCCCTCCAGTCCATTCCGACTCACGGCGGCCCCGCGGGCGCTGTTAAACTGCTCCACAGGCTTTCCAAGGTTGTGAGCCCTCAGTGGGAGATCACCACGCCTGTTTTCCAAGGCACATCTGGTGGGTCCCAACCACCAACCTTTCAGCTAGTCGTCTTAATCATTTGGCCACCCAGGGACTCCCTACTTGACTCTTTATAGTCTATATATTTTTTCCAATTTTTTTCCTATGTAAAACGATATCTTTTTATTGCTCTTGCATTCAATATATTTGATAAACACATATTACCTTCAGTCTACATTATCACATTTGGTTTAAAAAGAAATATATTCTCTATTTATATGACATATGCCACAAATTATTTACTCATCAATTTAAGCTTCTTCATGTTCAAATTTACTATAAATCATGACTTTCTCATAGCTGCATATTTCTCATTTATTTAAGCAAGAGTACTTTGGGTCAAGGTACTTTTTGCAACACTGTAGTGTGGCTGTTCCTCTAGGATCTGTTCAAGTATTTTGATTAGCACCATTACCCATTTGCCCCATTCCCAACATTTGCTGCTGACAATGGGAATATGCACGACTTCTGCTCCAAGAATCCTTCAACCTGATAAGGAGCGTGGATCTTTGGTAGCAAAAATCGTGGCTGAATTACCAGCATCCAAAGATACCCAGATCCTGCCTCAGCTAATCCTTAAGATCTTGGACAAACACTGAATTTGTGATCTCTATAAATGCCTCATCACCAATATTAAGCTTGTTCAGCCACATCACATCTCACAGCAGACCAACTACGGTGGGTCATACTGTTTCTCACACAATCAGGACGAAAGTGTCTGCCTAACCGCCAAAGAAATTCCTCGAAATGTGCCTCTGAATATTTTCCTTCTGGATTTGGGATCAATACGGTCCTAAATGCACCTACCAGTTCCGACTCAAGTTTCTAGATTCTTCGTCTATCTTAAATACACACAAACCATTAACGTAAACCTGCTGCCGTAAAGTCGATTCTGACTCATCGCGACCCTAGAGGGCAGAGTCCAACCGCCCCGTGGGATTTCCAAGGAGCGACCGGTGGATTTGAACTCCCGACCTTTCAGTGAGCAGCCGAGTTCTTCCCCACCACGCCACCAGGGCTCCCACCATTAAAGGAGGGACGATACATTCCTCACCATGACCTTACTTTTTTATGGCCACCAATCCTTAACACAAGTCCTGCCTTGAGGAAGCACAGAAAACACAGGGGGGCAGTGAGCGGCGAACTGCAGGCGGTGCGAGCGGAGCGTGTAGACTCAGGCCAACAACCTTGCGCGTCCATGAGGCCTGTGACCGCGCGTTTCTCACAGACTCCCAGGTGAAGCCGACGCTGCCGGGCTGCGCACACACCTCTGCTCAGCGAGGATGTACACGATTCTACCCGTCAGCGCACAGCCAGGCTGGTCCACCCACCCTCCGCCGTCCAGAACCCGGCCGTGCAGAAAGGCACCGCGGCCGGGCGGCCGCTGGGGGCTGGGACGGCGTCTCGGCGGCGGCGGCGGGAGGCCACCGGTACAGCCAGGCGGCGGGAGTCCTGCGGCTCTGGGGGCGCCGAGAGGCCAGACGGGCGCAGACAAGCGGGAGCGGGAACGCCTCGCCCCCGGGCCGCAGCTGGGACCGCAGCAGGCCCGACACCTGCACATGCAAAACCTACCTGACGCTGCCCCAGGAGCGCGACGGAAACGGGACAGCCGGCCCTCGGCGGCGCACTTCCGCTTCCGGGTTCTGGGAGTCTCGGTGCCGAAGGGGAAGGGTTCCGTGCGCAGTCCCAGAGCGCTCCAGCCGGTGACCGTGGGGTTCAGTGGCTTCCCCTTGGGCTTTGGCTCTGTCCTCTGCTGCCTTTATTCCCTCTGTAGGGAAGAGCCTAGGCTCTCTTAAATGCGTATATAAGCTTAAACGCGGAGTTCAGTAGTCAAAAATTTCCAATACCCTTGGGGAGCAGAGAAAGTTGGTATTTGCAAATGTGGCCATTTTAAAAAAATGTACCGTTTTCTTCAGAGAATTTGTTGGCTCGTCATAATATTTGCCCGTCTTTAGAATGGTTGAAGTCTCTTGTTTGGCTTCTGTTTCAGGGTGTGTCGTCTTTTGCATTTCAGGTGTCTTTCCCTAGGAGGAGGACACAGACTGTGGAAACCCAGTCTGATCTCTCCGAGAGCTGAGGGTCCTGGAGAGAGGCGTTTTCCAGGGTGAGAGGCAGGAAGATACCGGTCCTTCTGAGGGAGAGTAGGTAAAAGGTGATGTACCTTTGAAGATGACCGTTATCAACAGTTTTTACCTTTTTCTCAGGTATGCACACGTACAATAAAGTGCATAATGTGTACTAATCTTAAGTGTACAACACTATTTTTACATGTAGTTATACACTCTATATAAAGAAAACAAAAATTCTCACAACTGGACCCATAAGCAACATCATGATAAACAGAGAAAAGATTGAAATTGTTGCTGGGTGAAAACCCCGGTTTTTGCTCGGAGTGACTTGTTACAGCCAACAAACAAGAGGTCAAGGTGGGAGAAGAAAGACGCCTTTATTTCATTGTGCAAGGAAAGGAGCAATGTGGCTGCTGCAGACAAGGAAATGCAAATTCATCATGAATGTTCAGGACTGACCTTCACGCAGGAGCTCAGGGCTTCGGGATGACTATGCATTTTCTTTAGACAAGGATTCGATCCTCCAGGATGGAAGGAGGGGTGGATTTTCATTCATTAGGATGTAAAGTCTCCACCCAGAGACGGGTTGAGGCCATCTATGGCCCGTTTTTGTGGTTATCTCATCAAGGACGATTTTCAGAAGAATGTGCAGCTTATTTGGCTGGTGTAGGAGGATAAGCCAGAGCAGATGTTTCTTAGAAGTGTTGGGCTTTGAGGCTGCCTGCCTCAAAGTTGCCAAGGATTTCATTTTACCTGGATGCACAGTCAACACCCCTGGAAGCAGCAGTCAAGAAATCAAAGGCTGTATTGCATTGGGCAAATCTGCTGCAAAAGACCTCTTTAAAGTGTTCAAAAGTGTCTCAGGAAAAGGAAACTTTCCTTACAGTCAGTGAGACAGAGGCATAATATGCTGACCATGCTATCTAACTTTAATCTGGATTTCTAGACTAACAGCTATGTATTTTGAGAAAAACATGTTTTTCCTTGGTGGTCAAAACCAGGATGTGAAATCATATGCCACGGGAGGTCTTAACCAAGTGACCCATGTGCACCCCTCAAAATACATGTACTTGAGAAGAGTGCGGACTGGGTCCTGTTGCCAACAGGATATTTCTTGCAAGACAGATAAAGAAAATACATGTAAGCATCTGGTGACCATGATCTAAGCATCCTGTAAAACTATCTGTAATCACTAACTCTACTATTAATAATCAGTAACCAGAGTGTGATTATTACAATATTCATTGATTTTCCTGTAATTGCCCTCCCTGTGGTTTGGTTCCTCTTTTTACCCCATAAGAATACTTGTATAACAAAACTCCTCCCAGGACTATCTGGTTCCATTTTCAGTACACTCAGTGGTTCCCCAATTGCAATTGTTTTAAACCCTTAATAAACCTCTCTGTTTTAACCTGAAACAGCATTCAAGTTTTTCTCCACAACAAAGGCAAAAACATCACTTTGAGGACTAAGGTATGCCTGACCCAAGCCATGGTATTTTCAGTTGCCTCATATGCATGCAAAAGCTGGACAGTGAATAAAGAAGATCCGAGAAGAATTGAGGCCTTTGAATTACGGTGTTGGCAAAGAATACTGAATATACCATTCAGTGCCAGGAGAACAAATAAATGTCTTGGAATAAGTACAGCCTGAATGTGCCTTAGAAGTAAGGATGGTGAGACTCCGTCTCACATACTTTGGGCATGTTATCCGGAGGGACCAGTCCCTGGAGAAGGTCATCATGCTTGGTAAAGTAGGGGGTCACTGAAAAAAAGGAAGACCCCCAACAAAACGGATTGACACAGTGGCTGCAACAGTGGGCTTAAACAGAGCAACAATTGTGAGGATGGTGCGGGACTGGTGTTGTACATAGGGTCACTGTGTCGGAACTGACTCGACAGCACCTAACAACAACAATATACACTATATAACCACCTCTGACCCCAGGTTAGGGAAATTTTCCAGTACCTAAGAAGATTCTCTCATGCCCTTTTCCCAGCTGATAGGCATCCCAGGAATAACCAGTGTTCTGACTGTTATTGCCAGAGATAAGATCTGCCCGTTCTTGGATTTCATATAATTGAAGTAATACTGTATGACTTGTATTGCGTCTGACTTCATGTAGTCAACATAGTATCTATCAGATTTTATCTATGTTGTTACATATAGCAGTAATTTATTTTTTTGTCACTGTATTTTATTCCAATGGGTGAACATACAAAAATTTTTCTTATTCGTTTATTCATTCATTTTATTCTGTTCTTAAAGTTTGTATTATAACCTAGCATATAGTCTATCTTGCTGAATGTTTAACAAGCACTTAGAAGTAATGCATCTTCTGCTTTTGTTGGGTGGAGCGTTTAATCAATGTCAGTTAGGTCAAGATGGTTGATGGTGCTGTTCAGGTCTTCTGTATGCTTGCTGACTTCCATATCCTTGTGACTTTTTTTTCTATTTCATGTTTCATTTTTCATTCATATGTGTTGAAGTTCTGTTGTTAGATGTATACACATATCAGATTGTTATGTCTTCTTGTTAAATTTCCCTTTTATCATTATGCAGTGTCCTTCTTTATCCTTGCTAATTTTCAGTCTAGTCTTCCCCCTTGCTAATTATAATGGTCTTTGACTGATGCTTAGTCAAGTAAACACCAATATAATTTCACACAGAACAGTTCTATTGCCTGAAAAATGCCTTTGTGAAGTCTCTTGGTACTCAACTCCTCTTCCTTCCCTCACTCCTACCAACTGATCTGTTTTCTATCTCTATAGTTTTGCCTTTTCTAGAATATTGTGTAAATGGAACCATCCATCATTTACCATTTTGATCTGGCTTCTTTAACTTACAAAAATGCATTTAAGATTTATCCATGTTCTACACTTATACACTGCTGGTGGGAATGTAAAATGGTACAACCACTTTGAAAATCAATTTGGCACTTCCTTAAAAAGCTAGAAATAGAAGTACCATATGATCCCGCAATCCCACTCCTTGGAATATATCCTAGAGAAATAAGAACCGTCACACGAGTAAATGTATGCACACCCATGTTCACTGCAGCACTGTTCACGATAGCAAAAAGATGGAAACAAACTCATCAGTGGACGAATGGATAGACGAATTATGGTATATTCGCACAATGGAAATACTGCGCAACGATAAAGAACAATGAATCCGAGAAACATCTCACAACATGGATGAATCTGGAAGGCATTATGCTGAGTGAACTTAGTCACAAAAGGACAAATATTGTATGAGACTGCTATTATAAGAACTCAAGAAAAGATTTAAACACAGAAGAAAACGTTCTTTCATGGTTATGAAGGTGGGGAGGGAGGGAGAAGGGAATTCACTAACTAGATAGTAGACAATAATTATCTTAGGTAAAGGGGAGGACAGCACACACTACAGGGGAAATCAGCACAACTGAACTAAACCAAAAGCTAACAAGTTTCCTGAACACAGCCAAACACTTCGAGGGACAGAGTAGCAGACCAGGTGTCTGAAGACCATGGCTTCAGGGGGACATCTAGTTCATTTGGCATAACAAAGTTTATTAAGAAAATGTTCTGCATCCCACTTGGGTGAGTAGTGTCTGGACTCTTAAAAGCTAGCGAGCAGCCATCTAACATGCATCAATTGGTCCTAACCCACCTGGAGCAAAGGAGAATGAAGAACATCAAACACACAAGGAAAATATTAGCCCAAGAAACAAAATGGACTACATAAACCAGAGACTCCATCAGCCTGAAACCAGAAGAACTAGATGGTGCCCAGCTACCACCAATGACTGCCCCGACAGGGAACATAACAGAAGTTCCCTGATGGAGCAGGAGAAAAGTGAGATGCAGAACTCAAATTCACGTAAAAAGACCAGACTTAATGGTTTGGCTGAGACTAGAGGAACCCCAGAAGACATGTTTCCCGGACTGCCTGTCAGCCCAGAACTAAAACCATTCCCAAAGCCAACTCTTCAGATAAAGATTAGACTGGACTGTAAAACATAAAATAATACTCATGAAGAGTGTGTTTCTTAATTCAAGTAGGTACATGAGACTAAATGGGCAGCTCCTCTCCTGAAGTGAGATGAGAAGGCAGAAAGCGATAGGAGCTGGTTAAATGGACACAGGAAATTGGGGTGGAAAGGGGGAGTGTGCTGTCACATTACAGGGATAGCAACTAGGGTCACATAACAATGTGTGTATAAATTTTTGTATGAGAAACTAACTTTAGCTGTAAACTTTCACCTAAAGCACAAGTAAAAAAAGTTTTATTCATGTTCTAGTGTCAATCAATAGTGTGATCTGTTTATTGCCGTGTATATTGTACTGATATACCAAAGTTTGTTAATCCGTTCACTTGTTGAAGAACATGTTGGTTGTTTCCAGGTTTTGCTAATGATGAATAAAGTTGCTATAAAAACTCCATGCAGGTTTTTGTGTGAACATAAATTTTCAGTTCACTTGGGTCAATACCTAGGAGTGGGATCACTGTGTTGTCTGGTAAGTGTATCTTTCACTGTACAAGAAATGGCCGAA